GAATTAAACTTTTAATAATTAATTATTTTTAAACAATTAATAATTTACCAATCATCCTTTAATTAAATCATTAAGGATTTAAATAATTATCTTCAATTAAACAATTAATAAAATAATTCAAATTTAAATCATTAGGGATCAAACAAGTATCATCAATTAAACACTTAGTAAAATAATTCAAATTTAATCCTAATCCAATAACCCTTATAATTTTCGAAAATAAAGGAATTAGGGTTACTAGGCTTTAGTTATCCAAATTTTAAGGCATTTAAAATTATAATTAAGGAAACTAAAAACCCTAACGGAAACCCAACAGCTTCAAAAATAGGGGTGGAGGCTAGGGTTTCAAGAACCCTATCCTTTTGCGAAAATTTAAGGCCGTTAGGGTTTAATTTCTATAAACCCTAATATTGATCAATTCACTATTATGAACAATCAATTAGAAACTAAGGCTCCGATACCACTGATGAGTTTTCTAGGTTATAAGAAAATTCATGTTGCGGAAAAACATTTAAACCCTTAAGTTCACATGCAACCTAGAAATGATCTATGTTTTCTCTATTGATAGCAATAACCTATGAACATCAAGAAACCCTAGAGAGAGACTATGAAAATCGAAATTAACATAAAGATTATGGTTACATACCTTTTGATTATTATAGCAAATAATTAAATCAAATCCTCTCGAAGTTCCTTGGAAAACAAACACCAAAAGGATGATGCCTCTAATGGCTTACACCTAAAACTAGAAGCCCTAGAATAAGGAGGAGAGAGGATATATGAAAGTAATTTTTTCCTAAGCCTTTAGGTAATGCGGTGAACGAAAATTGCAAGTCAAATGGTCTTATTTATAGTTTAGGTAACTTGCAGGCAAAACAAGATTTGAATTGATCAAATAATATATTTAATCCTAATTCAAATTATTTCCTTTTAGTGTGGGTCTTAACGGTTCCACACTAATGGTAGTTAGGGTGAGGGACGGAAGGTACAACCAAACTACAAAAGGTCAAAACAATGCTTAGAAATAAATATTATGGACTAAATGTGTCACTTTTATCAAACCACGGTGACCAAACAAAAATTATTCCATAATTGGTACAAGTAGTTCACTATATGTATTGTAGTATTCAAGAAAAGTCCCGCGAAAATCGTACTCGTATCCCCCTGTCCGCAACAGACTTTGTCTTCCGGCCTCTTCTCAGCTTGTCCGTCACTTTCGCATTTCGTCGAACAGAAAGAGCTCATAACACCATATCCCTATGTACTCATTACATTCCTTCTCTCTTACACTCTCTTGCTATTATCTTTCCGATGGCGTCACGAGATCCGGAGATCGAAGAAGGGGGCGGAGGTGGAGGCGGAGGCGGCAGCCTCAAGAAGCCGCTCCTCCACACCGGAAGTTGGTACCGCATGGCTGGTATGAGCTCCAGGCAGTCTAGCATGTTTGCCTCTTCCGCTCAAATCCTTCATGAATCAGTCTCCATTTTCCTCTGCGTTTTCATCGTCGCCTTAGGCCCCATTCAGTTTGGGTTCACTGTAATCTCTCTCGCTCTGTCAATGTATAATCAGAAATTGAAAATGTGTATGTGCTCAAACTTACGAGTGTTTGTTTTCTCTTACAGTGTGGGTATTCAAATCCTACGCAGGCAGACATCATAACCGATCTTAAACTTAAAATTTCGGAGGTTTGATCTTAAACAAATCCACTACCACCATTCTAATACTTTTACCAGTGAAACTAGAGTTGCTTTTTTAAATGTAAAGTTTTGTTGATGAACAGTTCTCCGTGTTTGGTTCTTTAGCAAATGTGGGTGCTATGGTGGGTGCAATAGCTAGTGGTCAAATTGCAGAATACATTGGACGAAAAGGGGTAAAGATAATCTTTTCAATTTGGTATTATTTAATCTCCATCTATATTGCTCATGATGCTGTAAAACGATTAAACCTCATCGATGGTGTAAATTTGTTGCAGTCATTGATGATTGCTGCTATTCCCAACATACTTGGATGGCTTGCTATTTCATTTTCCAAAGTAAGCGACCATTTTAACCTCATTTCTAGCCTTGAAATCAATCATCTTGTATACTTTCTGTCAGCAATATTCATAATTTCTGTTTAATCTGTTCATAGGATTACTCATTCTTGTATATGGGAAGATTATTGGAAGGCTTTGGTGTTGGTGTAATATCTTATACGGTGAATCTTAGGCTTCTTCTACTTTGACCTTTCTTTTTTCCATCTGCTATAAAAATCAACTAAGATTAATTTTACAATTTACATATCATCTTTAGGTTCCTGTATACATTGCTGAGATCTCACCTCAAAACATGAGAGGTAGCTTAGGATCTGTTAACCAGGTTAGTTACTTAGTTATGATTCTTTTTCTTTCTTCATTATAAATACATAATGTAATTTACCATATATTTTCCTATTTTTAGCTTTCTGTTACTATTGGAATACTATTGGCATACCTTTTGGGGCTTTTTCTTCCATGGAGAGTATTGGCAGCTTTTGGTACTTTGCCATGCATCTTTCTGATACCTGGTCTTTTTTTCATTCCTGAATCTCCTCGTTGGTTGGTAAGATTCATAAATTTGAGCTTAATCAATTAATTAACTACCTTAATTCATGTAATTTGATCTATATTTGTCTGTTTTTTCTGTTATTTAGGCCAAGATGGGGTTTATTGAAGATTGTGAAACATCTTTGCAAGTTTTGCGGGGATTTGATTCAGATATTTCCTCTGAGTTTAATGAGATCAAGGTATAAGATTTAATTAGTATCAATTTCACATTTCTGAAAATTATCCTAAATTCTCATATACTTGATATCTATAATGCAATCCCAACAGAGATCTGTAGCAAACTCAGGAAAACGAGCTACAATTCGGTTTTCTGAACTTAAGAGAAGAAGATATTGGTATCCTTTAATGGTATGATTCACCAGTTTTCTACATTTAAATTTAACTTTCTTTAAACTTTAAAAACATTTAAAAGTTTTTTTTTTTATTGTTAAACTATGTCATACAGGTAGGAATAGGGTTACTTCTTCTTCAACAACTCAGTGGTATAAATGGTGTTCTATTTTACTCTAGTGACATCTTCAAATCAGCTGGTTAGTTTAACATACTGTCACCTAGTGGGCCACTGTGTATCTGATTTAAGAGGTTGCTGGAAGAATAACCCTTTTGAGATTGACCAGTCAACTTTATTGTGAACAGGAATTTCATCCAGCAAAGCTGCAACATTTGGACTTGGTGCAATTCAGGTATTTCACTTTTACTAAATAATTTTTTTTTTAAAAGTTTTTAATGCAAAAACACTTATCAATTTGGTCAGCATCTGGCATATATTTAGGTTGTTGCCACTGCAATTACAACATCCTTGGTGGACAAAAGTGGTCGAAGAGTTCTTTTAATGGTAATCAATTGCTAAAAACTTTGCTCAAACTTTTTATGACAGATTTAAAGTTTAAACTGACAATAAAAAAAACCATTTTTTCATGATGCAGTTATCTTCAATTCTAATGGTTGCAAGCAACCTTCTTGTTTCAATGAGTTTCTTTTTGAAGGCTAGTACTGCTTTTTACTTTTTAGTGTGTTGCTATTTCTAATACTCTTTTAGTTTGCTTCACTATTGTTAATATGTATAGTTGAGGGACCATTCTGTCATTTATGTATAGTTGATAGCTATATTTATACTTTGTATTTGGTCTACTCCCTTAAAGTCTTTTGGCTAATAAAAGAGTATAGGAAGTATAACTATACCTATCAACTATACATAAATGGAAAAAGTAGTCTCTCAACTATACATAAATGACAAAAACAGTCCCTCAACTATACATATTAACACTTATGTTGAATTTCAGCAACTTGTTGCTAAAGATTCGTCCCTCTATGGGTTCTTGGGAATATTGTCACTCATTGGACTAGTGGTATGCTTTCTTAAATCTTCGAGTTGTTTTCAGACCGACATCTTTGCAGAACATGCGAAAATTTGAGTCTCAGCAGCTGTAGTGTGAGAGTTTCAATTCCAATGCGGATTGGGCTCCTTGTTTACACTACACTCTGACATGAGTCATTTATACCTGATTTAATCTCACATGATGCTCTTAGGACAGACAGTGTCAACCAGCTCATGGGTTGCTGGAACAATAACTCTTTTACTTTGACCATCCAGATTATGGTGACCGGCTTCTCTCTAGGACTTGGACCAATTCCTTGGGTTATAATGTCCGAGGTATATATGTTGATTTGGAAATAAAAATAATGAATTATTTTTCTCGTTAATTTAAATAATAAGACATTTTAAATCCTTAATGTTTTGATCGTCTCAGATACTTCCTGTAAATATTAAGAGCCTTGCTGGCAGTGTTGCAACACTTTTTAATTGGCTGGCTGCATCGATTATTACAATGACAGCACCCCTACTCTTGACCTGGAGCAGTGGAGGTATTCTTTCTCTGTGTGTGTCACTGTGTGTAAATTTGTGACCAAAATTATTCAAGTGATAGTTTTTTTTTTTTTTTTTTACAGGAACTTTCATCATCTATGCTGCTGTGTCAACGTTTACTCTAGTTTTTGTGAAACTATGGGTTCCTGAAACCAAAGGAAAAACGTTGGAAGAAATACAATGGTCCTTTAGATGACACTGGTAAAGCTATATATCAGTGTTTCTTTTTTACTTATTTAACAAACACGACTGTTTCTTTTACTTGTTAGGGAAGTAAGGAACTTCATGAGATATTTTTCTATAGAAAAAACGCCTTCAGAATTCAGGAATTTCATTATTGCCTATACATTTTTGGATAAAAGAGTCATTTGGATAGTTAATATGAGGATTTGACAAGCAATTAAATGAATTTTTTAGCTACTCATTAATCCTATTATTATGCATTGAATTGTAATCCGAATCAAAAATACGGAATATAAAAACTATTAAATAATAATCAAAATTACAAAATTATTAAAGAAAGTTTAATAATATAAAACTAAATTCACTCATGAGATACATTTGGGAAAAAGTTATTTCTTGAGACCGAAACATATACGTTTGACCGAATAAACAAAAAAGGACACCATTAATTAAACTAAATAAATAAAGCGGGTCCTTTTCCAAAGCAGAAATCGACAACCGATTAACGAGTACCAATGCACAAAGTACTAGTAATCACAAAAGTAATGCTCTGGACTAAAACTATTTTACTCTGGAAATATAATAAATCAAATTAGAGTCTACGTCATCATGTAACTAATCGGGGCCCACTTCATCTCGTAAACCCGTGGACGAGGCCTGGTCTGTCAGTAACGTTGAGACGCCATGATAGAAACGGAGAATCTCTGTCGTCCACGTCATCAATGAACCTAAACTCGTTCCCTTTCACCGCCGCCGCCGCCGCCGCCGGAGAATAGCATGACGATAGTTTATGGGTAGATTGAGGGTGGTGAAGCCACGGGTTCCCGTTCATCACCGGTTGGTAATGTTGTATCTCCGTCATATCGCTTCCACCAGTCGCCGCCGCGTTGGCTCTCCTCTCTTCCTTCTTAAATCTGATTCCACATGCATTACACAGCGACTGCAGATTCAAATTCATAAAAATTTTCAAAACGGTTAAAAATACCTTTCATGGAATCGGGTCACCGGAAAAATTAACCTACCTTAGGGCCGCGGGGGCCATTCCTCCAAAGTGGGGTGGAAGTGGTGTCACAGTTAGCGCACCGCCTAGCGAGTAAAGGGTCACCGGCGGCGGATGTTCCGCCATTACCACCACCAAGGTTAGCTTTCTGTGAAGGTACCACCGCCGTCGTGTTTTGTAAAATATCCCAACAGAAACTAGCGGACCAAGAGGGCCTTCTCTCATGGTGAGTGTTCCTCTCGTAATCTCCGGCTAAACGAGTGGCCGGCGTACCCAAAGAAAGCGTACAATCAACGGCGGAGGAAGTAGGTGACTCTCCATCGTATGGCATGGAAAACACCATGGCATTATTAGAACCACCACACATATACATATTAGGGTTGTATGTGTGTATATATGTGTATATACTTTCTCTTTGAAATATGTTCTTGTTTGTTTGTTTATAAGGAGGATGCAAAGGGGTGTACGAAAATGTAATGATGGAAGAGTTTGAAAAGAAACGAAGAGTTGGGGATATATAAGGATAGGGTGGGTAGTAAGAAGATGAAATAAGAGTCAAGCAGTTGGCAGTGTAGCACGTTGTGGTGAAAGTGTTTACTTAAAAGGTGTACGTTTTACTTGCATTTATAGCACAGAGGTTGACAGTGAGTGGGATCCACCAACTCAAAAAACACCCCAATTTTGGGGAAAGAAATCTATGCTTGTACTCTTTCTCATCATCACATGTGATACACAACTCTATGCAAATAAATACATCCTTTTACATGCATGAAACAATGTGTAGTTTCAGTTATTTATTTATTTTTTTTAATTTTTGTTTTAGCGTGAGTGTGATCTGTTTCAAAACATGGGTGTTGAGAACGTTAAACGGTAAAAAAAAAAGCAAGAGTAATGTAGCTCGACACTCACGGAACAAATTCCATGGAGTAACGTTTCAAAACGTTTTTCATGAAGTAAGTTTCTTCATGTTGCTCATATGTCACGACTCATGAATCAACTAGTAAGGGATAATCACTTGAATGAGTAATATATTTTTTGATTAGTTCTTCATGTTGCTCATATGTCACGACTCATGAATCAACTAGTAAGGGATAATCACTTGAATGAATAATATATTTTTTGATTAGTACATATGTAGTTATTGAGTTTTTTTTTTCGTCCACATTATCCCCTTCAACTTGATAAACTGTACATATTCAGTACCTATAACCAGTTACTTCAGGTTAGTTGGAAAAAAATGACTTAATAGGTAATATATGTATCATTTTGTGCACATTTAGTCCTTAATATTTTTCTACACATTTAGTCCTTAATATTTTTTGTTTCAAAATGAGTTTTTTTTTCTCCTTTTCTACTCATTCAGCACTTATGAATGAATTTTTAGGGTTTTTCTCACAACATCTTACGTAGGACAATCATTGATGAGGTGTTTGAGGCAGTTGATGTTTATATCCATCGCGACCTTGACTGCTTGGTTGCGTAGGTCTTGTGTTTTGTGTTGGATTAGGTGTCTAAGCCCATAACTATAATTGGTATGTACTTGAATTGACAGCAGCACAGTCCTTTTGGGTTGCCCTCAACCTAGCAACTGGACAAGGAAATTATGAAAGGAGAGATATTAATTTATAAGATTAATAAATTAATATAAATGATTTATTAATATGTTAATGGATTAATATATTAATTAGAAATCATTATGTTTAATTAATTGTTAGCCAGAAATTAATCAGAATTAATTTTGGGGTTAAAAGAATTAATTATAAAGTGTAGGGACTAGTTTGCAATTAACTAATAGTTGAGTGGAAGGTTCCAGAACCCCCTTGGAAGGGGGTGGACGAAAACCCTAGGGGAAACCCTAGAGAATTCGTCCAAGGGCTCCAAGATAAGGCCTTGGGTCTTGCTTAGGCCCTAAGCAAAGGATAACTAGGGTTTTCCCTAAACCCTAGTTCCCTCAACTATTTAAGGAGCCTCCTGGCTCACATTTTGTGTACTGATTTCTTTGGAAGAAACCCTAAGGCCGAAATTGCATACTCTCTCCATCCTCTCTCCTCCAAGTTTCCTTCTTGCTAGTTCTTGGGTGTGATTCCATTAGAGGCATTACATTTGTGGTGCTAAGCTTCCAAGAAGATCAAGATCAAGATCAAGAGGATTATCAATTGTTTGCTATAACAATTGAAAGGTATGTAACTCCTAAACCCTAGTTTACTATTTTCGAAAATAGCCTCTCTCCTCTAGGGTTCTTGTTTTGCAATTCAAAGTTATATGTTCAATAGTTAAAACATAGATCCAAAGTAGGTTGCATGTGAACTTAGGAATTGTTTTTCTAGTTTATTTGTTTTACCTAAAACCCATCAGTGGTATCAGAGCCATTGTTGTTTTAAATTGAATTGCTACAATTGTTGAATTGCAAATTAGGGTTTATAGCTATTAAACCCTAAAGGCCAATTTTTCGATTTCTAGGGTTTTGGATCAAAGGGTTTTTTCGAAAACCCTAGCCTCCAAAGAACCCTAATCGAAATTAGGGTTAGGGTTTTGAAAACCCTAGCCTCCTCCCTTGTAAATTTCGAAATTTGCTTAGAAGTTTTAGGGTTTCTTGTTTTGGATAATTGTTACTTAATTAGATTAATTGGATAATTATCCTTACCCTATTTTTCGAAATTTAGAGGGATAAGGATTAGGATTAAATTAATGGATTAATTTAATTAGATAATCCTTACAAGATTTAATAATTTGATTAATAGTTAATTAAAAGATAAATATTAAATCTAGTTAATTGGTTTATTTAAATTTAAATTTAATAGCTTAAATTTCGAAATTTATAAACCCTTGAAGTTTTAAAATGTTTTAAAACACACCTTATATATATATTATAATTAAAAGTTTTATTATATATGTATAAGAATATGGTCAGTCAAATCGCTAGTATGCCTCATTCACGAAGCTAATCTATAAGGGGGGTATAAGGAAACTGCCTATAAAATGGTAGTTGAATGGGTGTCCACTCTCACCCACCGCTTCCTTGATTAGTGGAGGGTCGTTAGCAGAACGGATTTGATAGGACAACTACTTCTCATTAAAAGTATAATGATATTAAAGAAAGTACTAGAACATTATTTTCAAAATCCCAACTCTAGTTACTTTAGGAAAAATGTGAAAAGTATGCTAATCCATGAAATTGCACATTATGCTTTATTGGTCGTTAGTGGAGCGTGTGTGGTTAACCAGCACACTAAAAGGCACTAATAAAGAGTAGTAATGGGTATCTCATAATTGTCATTTTGATGGAGCGTGTGTGGTTTACCAGCACATCAATAGTTAATGATAAAGACAATGAGGTTACCAAGCACATTTGCATGGTTATTCACATCTTGTTTGTGATCCTCGGCATCCCAGTCACAAATAGAAGAGCATAATCTGAGATTAAAACATGCCATTGAATAGTTTCAATGTATCTCAAAAGAATTAGGAATTTCACTTCGTTTGTTTCGTCTAATGGTGGAATTGGTGAATCGTCATTCACCTACCTTTATGAAATTTGCACTTGGATCTCGGCATCCCATTTCTAAGTTGTGAATCTTCATAGTTGGATCCTAACCTTGATATTATATCTTTGGGTTATTCTATTAAGGTATCTTGAAATCTAACTAAAACTTTCTTTCTTTTCAGATGTCTACTCCTGGAAACACTTCTGCTTCATCCTCCTCCAACCAGAACTTCTCTTTGCTCAATATATGCTCCAAAGTCGTTATGGATGGCTCAAACTATAACGATTGGATGCGCAACATCAAGATGGCTCTTCGTTTCGAGAACAAAGAATATGTTCTTGAAAAGGAGCTCAAAGAGCTTGATGAGAATGAAGCTACTCCTGAAGATCTTGCTGCCTACAAGAAACATTACGATGATGCTACCAAAGTGGCATGCATCATGGTGGCAACTATGTCCCCAGAACTGCAGAGGTACTATGAGGACTACTGGCCTTTCGAGATGAACAAGGACCTTATGGAAAAGTACCATAAGCGAGCTCGTCAAGAAAAGTTCGAAGTAGTCAAGTCACTCATGGCTTGCAAGATGAAAGATGGGGAGTCGGTTGTGTCACATGTGCAAAGAATGCAACGCTACATAGAGCGTTTGGTCAAGCTCAATATTCACTTTGATGAGGAATTGGCCATTGACATGGTCTTGAACTCACTTCCTGAATGTTATGGTCAGTTTATTCTAACTTACCATTTGAACAATACTGAGCAGACCTTGGCCCAATTGCACAACTTGTTGCAGACAGCTGAGGCAGGGATGAAGGGTAAAAGTATACCCTCCACACCTGCTAGTGCCCCTGTTTTGGCTATTGGACAGGGAAAGGGGAAAAAGAGGAAAGGTCCTCCCAAGCAAAACTGGAAGAGCAAGGCTCAAGCTGGGTCATCTAGTAATGGCCCAAAGGCTAAGCCCAATGGTTCCACTCCCCATGTTTCTGATCCAAAAGAGGCAGTTTGCTTTTACTGCAACCAAAAGGGGCATTGGAAGAGATCTTGCCCACAATATCTGCAAGATATCAAGGATGGCAAAGTGAAGCCATCTTCGGCAGGTATTTACACTATTTCTGCTAATAACTCATTATCTTCTCGTTCATGGGTCCTTGATACAGGATGTGGTTTTCATATCTGTTCTGATTTGCAGGGTCTAAAGGAAAGTGAGGAGATAGAGCGAGGAAGGATAAACCTGATCATGGGAAACAGAAAGTCTTCACCAGTAACCAAGATCGGAGTTTATCAGCTTCTGCTTAGTAATGATGTTAGATTAGATTTAATAAATTGTTGCTATTCGTCTGAGATGACGAGAAACATTATTTCATTTCATGCATTGTTCAGACAAGGTTTTACATATTCTTTTAATGATTTGAATGGTTCAATTTCTGTTTATAAGAATGGTGTTTTTATGTTTGAAGCTTTGCCTTGTAATGGTGTGTATGAAACAGTGACTTGTGTTGATAGCCTAGGAAATAGTGTACTTAATATTGACTTGTCTAATAGTGTAGACAAGGCATGCTTGTGGCATTGTCGTCTTGGACACATTAACAAGAAACGCATAGCCCAACTCCAAAAGGATGGAGTGTTGGAATCATTTGACCTAAAGTCAGATGATATGTGTGAATCTTGTCTTTTGGGAAAGATGACAAAATCACCATTCACAGGGTCTTGTGAAAGAGGTGAAGGTCTGTTGGATCTCATACACACGGATGTGTGTGGGCCCTTCAGATCAACTACAAGAGATGCTAATCGATTCTATGTGACTTTCACTGACGATTATAGCAGATATGGATATATCTACTTGATCAAGCATAAGTCAGAAACTTTTGAAAAGTTCAAAGAGTTTAAGCATGAAGTCGAAAATCAATTGGGCAGAAAGATAAAGATACTTAGATCCGATAGAGGCGGGGAGTATCTTAGTATCGAGTTTAACGACTATCTGAAAGAATGTGGGATAGTCTCACAATTGACTCCTCCTAGGACACCACAGTTAAATGGTGTAGCTGAGAGGCGCAATCGAACCTTGTTAGACATGGTTCGTTCTATGATGAGTCGGGCTTCGCTTCCTATTCACTTCTGGGGGTATGCCTTAGAGAC